TACTTACAAGGGTATTTCCTTTTAGCACAAAGAGAATGTAGGGAAAAAATGGCCATAAAAGTTTAAAATGTTCACTTGGCCAGTCAATATTTACTCTATAAGAATTTTCAGTGTTGGTTCATATTTTTTATAGCTGGGATAATTCTAAATATGACTCAGTATAACTTCTTTAATTTGGTTAGCAAATTTTTAATTTTAAGTATATGTTATGCTGGCATGTACAAAATGAGTGCAATGAGAAAGAATGTAATACACATTCAATAAGAATGAAAATACATTTGAGTTTATTTATTTATTTAGTTATTGGGTCAGGATCTCATTTTGTTACCCAGGCTGAAATGTAGTGGCATGATCATGGTTCATGCAGCCTTGACCTCCTGGGCTCAGGCGAGCCTTCCACCTCAGCCTCCTGAGTTGCTGGGACAACAGGCATGCACCACCAAACCTGGTTAATTTTTAAAAATTTTTTGTAGAGACAATGTCTCACTATGTTGCCCAGGCTGGTCTTGAACTCCTGGGCTCAAGCAATCCTCCCGTCTTAGCATCCCAAAGTGCTGGTATTACAGGCGTGAGCCACTGTGCCCAGCTAATCTTTTAGTTAAATGTAGTTTGTCAAGTGGGATTGTAGAAATTATTCTTTCACTAAAAGCTATTTTAATTCTTTCTTCTCATGTGTAAACTGAATTTCATCACATGTAACTTTAAAATACAGGTTTTGTGGTTATGAACATTTTAAGTACCTACTTGCTTGATATTCCCTGAGCACAAGATATTCCTTGTAAAATCCTTGGCTTTTTTTTTTAAGGCCTCCAAGTGCAATCATTTTACATGAAGAAAAAGGAAATTTAAATATTTTGATCTTTATTTTCACAACAAAATTATTTTGAGAGAGGTTCCAAGAAAAAAAGCATCTTTGCAGTATTACTGCATGCATGGAAAACACCATTATCCATAGTCTGTGCAAATGGGAGTGAGTCCAGGTATTCACAGTGATCATATCCAGTCAGCTGATGAGAGCAGTTCGCATAAAGCCACCTGGGAGTAGCGAGGGCGTCATGCTGGCAACCACAGCATCCTTCAGCTTGTGGTGGCAAAACTTGGGGGTTGGAAACTGCTGCATGGAAAGGAAAAGTTTTAAACTAGGCTTTTTCATCTTGATTGAGGATGAAAGCATAAATGAGAGTATTTGTATTCAAACCTCTTGAAAACCATTTTCTAGGAATGTAATACTTAAATGTGTTCTTAAAACAAGCCTTTGAAATTGAAAGTGTAAACTGTTCCTTCGTTTGTCCATGGGTGGTCCACAAGGGCCTGAACCAAGGCTGGGGTTTGGGTGTGGCCTGTGTGGGCTGAGTGATGCGTGGGCCAGCCTGGGCGCGTTATTTCCGGGAAACCTTGAAAAAAAGTCTCACCATTTGTCTGCTTCCACCTCCCTTCACCCCCGAACATTTGGTTTCACTGTGTTCCCATGAGGCCACACTGCAGATTCAAAGAGCAGGAGAAATCCCTGCTCCGCAAGGTTGGGTTCACCCTCACCTCTGAACACTGCTCCATGAGTATTTTGCTGATGTGATGAGCCACCATGAGCAACTCTTTACCTGCGGGTGGAAAACTGGCAGTCACTGGGGATTAGATGGAGAAGTCGCATTTCTGTTACCAAACTCATTTCTGTTACCAAACTGTAATCAAACTTTTTGATTATGAAAGATTTTTTAAATATTGTGACATAGAACACAACTGCAGTTGTGTATGTGCACACATGCTTGCACATCAAACTTAATAAAAGATCCACAGACCAGTTCTCCCCCTTGTTACCTATGATTTGCTCTGGTATTTTCTCTTTCCTCTCTTTTCCACCTCCTCCCACCTCCTCCTCCTATCTTGTCCTATCCTATCCTATCCTATTCTTCCTCTCGTATTAAATTCATCCTCTCCTCTCCTAAACTATTCAACCCAACCTATCCTATTCTATCTATCCTGTCCTATTCAATCCATCTTCTCATATTCACTTCACCCCACCCTATCCTACCTATTCTCTCCTATTAAATCCATCCCATTCTATCTTATCCATCTTCTCCTCTCAACTTATTCAACCCAACCTATCCTATCCTACTCAACCCATCTTCTCATATTCACTTCACCCCACCCTATCCTACCTATTCTCTCCTATGAAATCCATCCCATTCTATCTTATCCATCCTCTCCTCTCTTAACCTCTTCAACCCAACCTATCCTATCCTACTCAACCCATCTTCCTGTATTCAATTCATCCCATCCTATCCTATCCATCCTCTCCTATTAAGTCTATCCTCTCCCCACTTAACCTATTCAACCCAACCTATCCTATCCTATTCAATTCATCCTCTCCTATCAATCCCATCCTATCCTATCTATCCTCTCCTATGCAATCCATTTTATCCTATCCTAACTTATCCAACTCAACCTATCCTAGCCTATCCTATTCAATCCATCTTCTTATATTCAATTCACCCCATCCCATCCTATCCTATTCAATTCATCCTCTCCTATCAATCCCATCCTATCCTATCTATCCTCTCCTATGCAATCCATTTTATCCTATCCTAACTTATCCAACTCAACCTATCCTAGCCTATCCTATTCAATCCATCTTCTTATATTCAATTCACCCTATCTTATCCTATCCCATCCTATCCATCCTCTTCTATTAAATCCATCCTTTCCCCAACTAACCTATTCAACCCAACCTATCCTAGCCTATCCTATGCCATTCTATTCAACCTATCCTCTCCTACTCAATCCATCCCATTCTATCCTGTCCATCCCCTTCATTTCAATCCATTTTAACCTATCTTAACCTAGCCAACCCAACCTATCCTATCTGTCCTGCCCTATCCTACCCTACCCACCCACTCTTATTAAATCCATCCCATCCTATCCTATCCATCCTTTCCTATTAATCCATCCTCTCCTCTACAAACCTATCCAACCCAACCTATCCTATTCAATCCATCCTATATTATCCTGTCTTATCCACCCTCTCTTATCCAATCTATTCCTTCCTCTTCTTTCCTATCCAATCCAACCTATCCTTTCCTTATCTCTCCTGCCCATTTTATCTCACCCCATCTCATCTCATTCCATCCCATCCTGTTCTATCCACCGTATCCTAGCCTATCTATATCCAAAGTGTTAGTCGTGACTTATTAAATGTATATTAAGACACTTTAATGTCGGTGGATCTACTTCTAGAAAATTAAACCAGTAATGATGCAGTTTCAGGAACCCTAGGAGGGAAAGAAACTCTTTTGTATGCAACAATCTTCTGTTTGCAGATATGCTGATTTTTGACAATGTGCCCAGTCCATTGCTTCCTGAATGAGAAGGATAAAAAAGAGATGAGATAAAATGCACTCTTTCAGTATGATACAGATATACACAGGTGTGTGTGTTTGTGTGTGTGTGTGTGTGTGTATGTGTGTGTGTGTGTGTGTGTGTGTGTATGTGTATTTAGTCATGTATATCCACAAACTTCCACTTTCCTTTTCCTGAGGTGGGACAGGAAAGAAGAAAATCGGTATCACTTGAAACTGGACAGTGTATAAATTGGTGCTGGGAATAGGAACCCTTTTTCCAACTCTCCTACTTCATGGAAGCTAGCAGTGAACAAAAGTTACTCTCAGCGAGGCCCTTGAGTAATCTAATTGGTTAATTGATTAATGTCTTGATATGGCATTCATTTTCTTTCCACGGTAAATTCTGAGAGACATTCTAAAAGCCCCTAGGAAGGAAATTAGTTGCCTACTTTTCCTGTGATGTTAATGGCGCTCCCTTGGGCTCTCAAAAGCAACTTTCAAAGGAGAATGTGATTTGGGCCACAGTTCTGTTTATTTTTGGTTTTCCAGAGTCTGGACTTCTTTATTAAAGGTTGCCAACCTAGGGCCTTGACCACAAAGATTTAACACCATGTTTTTAAGAAAAAGAAAATCAAAATTGGGGTTAATGAAAGTTAAAAATCTTTGAGTCTCCTGGTAGGCCTCCTGTACAGACACTTGTTTTGCAACTGTCTCTTGCTTGGGTGCGCCAAGTCATTGCAGACCAGCTTGACCAGAGGAAAAACAAAATAAACATGACCAATGGTGGCTGTCATAACCAGCAGCCTCTTTTTTTTTTTCCTACAAGACAAACCTCTTTTTTCCCCCCATTAACATTTTGTCTGTATTTGACATTTGAATCACCCTACAAGGTGGAATATTGTTTTTGTTGAAGCCACTGGGTAAGCGTTTCCTACCTATCTTGTCTGGAAAAAGCCCCAGACATCTGCCCCTGGCCTAGGAATACTCTTCCTGGCCTCTCTGTGTCATGCATTATAGCCCATGTGGCCCCAAGTGTGGAAACAAATCTCTTTTCCAGGGTACCTGAATATGGTCACTATGTTCACATACTCCAAATAGCACTGAGACTTGGTCTAGGTGAACTGTTAACCTACAGTGGGCCTGCCTAGACTTCAAAGGTCAGATGGCATGAAACACTCCTCAAAGTCTGAAGACATTAGTCATACAGTAAATTAAAATACAGAGATTCTTGGAGGAGGCAGTGGTTGAAGTATTAGAAAACAGATTTGTCAGGACAAAAATATCTTGTCATCACCATTTTGCCTAATGGACAAGTGAATACTGAGACTGGAGCCTAATTTTTAAGCTGCTCTTCTGTCTTCATGTGTCAAAATATTTAACATTGGCTTCTGGTTCTCCCAAGAGTTGTCTCCATTGCTTATCTTCCTTTTTCTATATATCCAATCTCTTCTTTTAAAATATTGGTTCTCTTCTACCATGCAAGCATGTTAAAATCTCTTCCATTATGAAGGCCAGGAAGAAATCATGTTGCATGAGTAGGGTGTCATGAGCTGTGGGGATGAGAATCTCTGGGGATTGTATTTGACTGTCACTTCATATTAACTTGAGCAGAAACTAAAAGGGCTTTCTCTTTCCCCTTTCTCTCAGGTCTGTTGGACAGGTGTGATGGCAGAAGCTTTGATGATGATAAAAACCAGCGGAGAGGTGACAGTGGCGATGGCGAGGGCCCAAGGCTCCTCTGGTCCAGTGGCTTTGCCTCTGGACTGGCCCTTCTCTAACTACCGGCCCTTCGAGCCCCAGGCTTTGGGCTTCAGCCCAAGCTGGCGGCTGACGGGCTTCTCAGGCATGAAGGACTGAAGCTGCAAGGTCCCCCAGGAGGTGCTGCTCAAACTCCTGGCGGGACTGATGTGGCCCTCTCCGGGCAGGGGCCTGGTCAGAAGCCAGAAAGAGGTGCCCCAGGAACCCAGCCTACTAGTCGGGGCTCTCCCCAGCCGACCCTTCCCAGCCCTGGGCATTGGGATGGACTCCTGCATCATCCCCCTGAGGCGTGGGGGCCTGTCACTGGTGCAGACCACTGACTTCTCTTACCCCTTGGTGGAAGATCCCTACATGATGGGGCGCATAGCTTGTGCCAGTGTGCTAAGTGACCTCTACGCCATGGGCATCACTGAATGTGACAACATGTTAATGTTACTCAGTGTCAGCCAGAGGATGAGTGAGGAGGAATGCAAAAAGGTGATGCCCCTCATGATCAAAGGCTTTCGGGATGCTGCAGAGGAAGGAGGGACTGCCGTGACTGGCGGACACACGATGGCCAACCCTTGGATTATCATTGGTGGAGTTGCCACTGTGGTATGTCAGCCAAATGAGTTCATAGTGCCCGACAGCGCTGTTGTTGGGGATGTGCTGGTGTTAACCAAACCCTTAGGAACCCAAGTTGCTGTCAATGCCCACCAATGGCTGGATAACCCTGAGAGATGGAATGAGGTAAAGACAGTGGTCTCCAGAGAAGAGGTAGAGTGGGCCTATCAGGAAGCCATGTTCAATATGGCTACCCTAAACAGAACTGCTGCTAGATTGATGCATTCATTTAACGCCCATGCCGCCACAGATATCACAGGCTTTGGCATTCTAGGACACTCCCAGAACCTGGTAAAACAACAGAGAAATGAAGTGTCTTTTGTCATTCATAATCTACCCATCATTGCCAAGATGGCTGCTGTCAGCAAGGCCAGTGGGAAGTTTGGGCTCCTTCAAGGAACAGCAGCTGAAACCTCTGGGGGATTACTGATTTGTCTTCCAAGAGAACAGGTGGCTCGCTTTTGTTCTGAAATCAGATCTTCCAAACATGGAGAGGGCCACCGAGCATGGATTATTGGCATTGTAGAAAAGGGAAACCGGACAGCTCGGATCATCCACAATCCTCGAATTATTGAGGTCCAACCTCGTGGGACCACTCCTTCTGCTCTTACTCCCGCCAAATCCAGTGCCTCCTCGGAGTCTAGCTTGTAAGATGAAATGGCTGAAGTTGTTGGAGCCTTTGTACACAGTCACGGACGATTCTCAAGGGTTGATTTTAAGAAATTTCCAATGGTTACAGCTGCTTTTCCTGGGTGGTCTCAATCAGCCCATCAAAAGCGGCCTCAGCTGGGCTTGGTGGCTCAGCCTGTCATCCCAGCACTTTGGGAGGCCAAGGCTAGTAGATTGCCTGAGCCCGAGGGTTCAAGACCAGCCTGGGCAACTTGGAGAGACCTCGATTCTACAATTAAATAAAAATTAAATAAAAATAAAAAAGAAATGAGAGTTAGAAAAAACCCTCACAAAAAAAAAAAAGGCGACCTCTAGCTACAGTCTAATACCAGAATGAACATTTTGAACTATGTGGGGACATTTGATCAACTCTTATTAAAATTGCACATGCACAAAAAGTAAATTGCAAAATGAAAAAAAAAAATTAAATCAGAAGCAAATGAGTTGGGACCAACACTGTTGATAAATCTTAATTAAGAGCTCTTATAATGCAAAGTCAAATTCTGTATTAGAGTTTTCTGAAGTACTGGCTCTGTCCTGCTCTGGACAAGAATTGAGCAGCTTGTCTGAGTGGGAAAGGAGGACCTGCTACCACCTGACTTGGTCTCTGTCAATGATGTCTCTCCCTCTAAACCCTATGAAGGGCTGGGAGAGGCAGAGCAAACCCCAGAGCCCAGGCCTTGGTGGTTATTAAGATGTCAAATATGGCTGGGCTTGGTGGCTCATACCTGTAATCCCAGTACTTTGGGAGGCCGAGACAAGAGGATTGCCTGAGCCTAGGAGCTTGAGACCAGCCTAGGTAACATAGTGAGACTTCATCTGTACAAAAATTAAGAAAAATTAGCCAGGCATTGTAGTGCATGCCCGTAATCCCAGCTAACTGGAAGGTTGAGGCAGAAGGATTGTCTGTGCTTAGGAGGTCGATGCTGTGGTGAGCCACGAGTATGCCACTGCACTTCAGTCTGGGTAACAGAATGAGACTTTGACTCAAAAAAAGATGGCTGGGCTCGGTGACTCAGCCTGTAATCCCAGCACTTTGGGAGGCTGAGGCGAGTGGATTGCCTGAGCCCACGGGTTCAAGACTCGCTCAGGCAACTTGGCGAGACCTCATCTCTACAATAAATCAAAAATTAGCCGGGCGTGGTAAGCGCACGCCTGTAGTTCTGGCTACTTGGAAGGCTGAGGTGGAAGGATCACTGGAGCCCAGCAGGTCGAGGTTGCAATGGCTGGGAGCATGCCACTGCACTCCAGTCTGGGTGACAGAGTGAGACTCCGACTCAAAAAAAAAAAAAAAAAGAAAGAAAAAAGAAAAGAAAAAAGATGTTAAATATTGTGCTGAAAATTCCTGGTGACTTAATCAATAAAGAGCAATTTCTAACTAAAAGATAATATCTCTCTTGTCTTGGAATGCAAAACCCTCCTTCAACTATCCTCCTTTTCCTTCTCACAGTTTCTTCTCTGTCTCTCCATGTGTGAACTTTACAGCTTAGTGTGTCTCAACCTGTGGTGTGCTTCAGAATCACTTGCAGAACTTGTCAGAACACAGACTGTGGGCCTCATCCCCAGGGCTCCTGATCCAGCGGGTGTGGGGTAGGGTGTTTCTAACAAGTTCCCAGGGGATATTGATGGTTGGGGAACCCACTTTGAGAACCATCACTCTGAAGAGCGTCCTCCCCATCCCTTGGCCTTGCTTGCTCTTTCTCCACTCACTACCCAACCTCGCTGTCCTCCACCTGGCCCCCTACTGACCTCCAAAGGTCAGATCCAGGGGACGCTTTGTGTCCCATCTTACTCGAGTCCTCTGTGACATCCGCCACCCAACCACGTCCCTCTCGTTCTTCTTCTGGCTTCTGTGACATGACTTCCTCCCCATCGCCAGCTTCCTTTCCAGTTGCTCTTTTTGAGTTGCCTTTACGGGCACCTCTTCTCCTACCCATGGTGTGTTTCCTCTTCCTCTGGACTCTGTTCTTGTCCTTAGCTCTTTCACTCTGCATTCTTCCTGGGATGCCTCACCCAGGCTTATGACTTCGGCATCAGTGCCAACAAGCCTCAGATTGACTTTTCTATGGCAGGCCTCTCTTCTGGTTCCATGCCTGTGCATCCACAGACTCATGAAGTTAGATGTGTTCCCAAATAGGCTTTTGTTCTGAAATCGGATCTTCCAAGCATGGAGAAGGTCACCAAGCATGGAGTGTTGGCATTGTGAAAAAGGGAAACTGGACGACTCGAATCACCAACAGTCCTCAGATTATTAAGGTTCAACCTTATGGGCCCACTGCTTCTGCTCTTCCTCCTGCCAGATGACTCCCTTGTTTTCCCTTATCTCCCTGAGGGGCAACCATTTTATTTTTCCCAAGCCAGAAATCTGTGCCATTCTTATATTTTTTCTCCCTCATCCTTAATCCTGATGTCCGATTCATCATCAAGGCATCTCATATCTCTTCTCCTTTCCATTTTCCATTGCTAATGCCTTAGTTACTCTTTGTCAATGTTACTGAAACACCCTCTTAACACAGTTTCCAGGCTGGGTAGTTCCTGGTTATCAGCTTTCTGATGTTTCTAGGCACTTTTCAAATAGTAGGAATATATAGGTCCCTCAACTCAGGTAACATCTTGCCGTTCCATAAATTCTGGTTTGGTCATTTGATGCTCTACCACTTTAAACAACAAGGAAACTTTTACTAGTAATACAGTAAAAGTACATGGATACTCCCTTGTGCTACCTCATATAATCAAATCATTCTCACACAACTGGAGCACGTATAGCATTGCTGTTCATTTGTGGAAAATCTATACTTTTTCTGCAGTGCAATGTGTGTAAACTTCTGCCCTGGCGTTCTAGACTTGGCGGTTACTGTCCTTTTTCACAAAGTACCACTGCTGTCAGGGAAGAGGCTAAAAGGACCCTCCCCCAATTTAGATTCAGAACCAGGAAGGAACATGAAAAACAACAGTGTAGAAGTATGCATTCTTAGCTCCACTTCAGATGAGGAAACTAAGGCTCTGGCCCAGCAATAGCATTAGAAAAAGTGGAGCCAAAGATACAAACCCGATTTGCAAAAAAAAAAGGGAGATTGTGGAAAATGTGAAATGTCTATCTCCTTCAGGCTAGAATCGCAGAGTACAATTACATTATTTTGTTGAAGCGTTGTACGTTTTAATAAACTCAGATGTTCCTATACTAAAGCAAATGCCTATAATAAAATGAAAAAAAGTACTAAAGGCAAATATCAACTGATGACCAATTTTTATATGCAGTTTTGTTCTTTCTGTATGTGTTTGTGCATGTATGTGTATGTGGTTTTACAAAAATTTAAGAGATTTTTATTTGGAAATAATTATAGCTTCTTGAGAACTTGCAAAGATAGTTCAGGGAGGCCCTGGATACTCTATATCTAGTTTCCCCCAGTGGTTACATCTTATTATATGTCTATAGCTCAGCCCAGGCATGGTGGCTCATGTCTGTAATTCCAGCACCTTGGGAAGTCAAGGCAAGAGGATTGCCAGGAGTTTGAGACCAGCCTGGGCAACATGGCGAGACCTCATCTCTATAGTAAATAAATAAATTGCTATAGAGTCTATCATACTAAGAGATATATCACAGAAACAAAGAACTGAGTACCACATGTTCTCACTCATAAGCAGACCCTGAACATTTATCATAATACTATGTGAAAGAGATGGGCAGTAGCGGGACACTGCCAGGGGTTAGGCTGGGATATGCTATGATAATCAGTAGATTTGGTGTATTAGTTGTATTTTTGACTTACATTTTCTTTTCTTTTCTTTCTTTTCAAGAGTCTCTCTCTTGTTCCCCAGGCTGGAGTGCAGTGGCATGCTCATGGCCACTGCAGCCTCAACCTACTGGGATCAGGCGATCCTTCTGTCTCAGTCTTCTAAGTAGCTGGAACTTCAGGCATGCGCAACCATGCCTGGCTAGTTTTTGGGGTTTATTGTAGAGATGAGATCTCACCAAGTTGCCCAGGCTGGTCTTGAACCCCTGAGCTCAGGCAATTCTCTTGCCTTGGCCTCCCAAAGTGCTGGGATTACCGGCTGAGCCACTGCGCCCAGCTGACTTACGATATTTTCAACCTACAATGGGTTTATTAAAACATGACCTCATCAAAAATCAAGGAACATCTTCCAAAATCTTTACCTCAAAATCATCACATTGGGGATTAAGACTTCAGTCTATGAATTTTAGGTGGAGACACAAACATTTAGTCCCTGGCAGTCTCCTTTGGAGGATGGTAGGTAGGGAATTTTCTGAGAAGAGAGTCTCTGAAGTGGAAATGGGGCCTCATGAGATAATTTCCATTTTAGGACTACACCATCTGACTTCAGCTCGTGTCTGAAGTAGCCTATATTTACAGTTAGAGTTTAAAAGGACCCACCAAAAGCATGAGCTGTCTCTGTCCTGATGGTTCTTATTAAGCAGAATGAAACCTTTCTCATGGTTTCCTCTTCTTATTCGCGAATAAACCTACAACATTTTTGATGCTTTAAAAATAAATCTATCCTATTATAATTTGGTGCTTTTCGTCTATGTCCTTATTAGAGTGGGATGGGATGAGGATAAAGATAAATGATTCTCAGCTTCAGAAGTTCTCTGAATACACTCTTTCTATATATGAAGATAATTATTAGGAAGAGATTCTGTTTTCTCCAAGGTGACTAAGCTCAAACTTGTTACATCCATCAAAAAGATGTCAGTTTTAGAATCACGTAATGGTCTGTGACTCTTCTGTGAAGCCTACCATTTGGCCTGGGGCAATGTTTTGGGGTCTCTCTTTTTCCAGATCAGATTTTAAACTCACCTCCATAGTGTCAGTAGCCGCTTTTCAACTGTAAGCACTCATGTGGGTAGATTTTCATTTCTTTTCCCCATGACTTATATTGGGAAAAGTTCTAGCAGTTTCCTCCACATGAAAAACTCTTTCCCACAGAAGCATGTTTGGTTTTCAAAGAACAACAAGGGACAG